GTGACAGGAACCCGGTATGTGCCGTGTCGTCATGCCCATCTCGGGACCCGGTCGTGAAGCAAACGCTGAAGCGGTCTCATATGAAGCAACCTGAGCGGCGTGACAGCGGCTGCGGATGCCATATGCCCCAGGAGCCTCTGAAACTGTTTCAGTGGAACTGCCCTCCTGCGCTGAAATGACTCCAGGCAGTTCAGAATCGACTGAGCGCTCTCTACTGAGAGGCGCGCTGTAAGATTGAGTCCAACTCCATACCGAGAAAAGAGATCCTCTGCACGGAGGAGAGTTTGCTCTTTTCCCAGTTGACCCAAATCCCCAACCGGCTGAGGTGGCTGAGTACCACGTCCCTGTGTTCGCACAACTGTGCTCGAGACTGGGCCAGTATGAGCCAGTCGTTGAGGTAGTTGAGAATGCGAATGCCCGCTTCCTTCAATGGAATGAGGGCTGCCTCCACGACCTTGGTGAAGACACGAGGCGACAGGGATAGCCCGAAGGGGAGGACCTTGTACTGATACGCTCGCCCTTCGAACGCAAAGCGGAGAAACGGTCTCTGTCGAGGGAGAATCGAGACATGAAAGTACGTGTCCTTGAGGTCGATCGCTGCGAACCAATCGAAAGGACTTTCCCTCAACGGAACGAGGGCTGTCTCCATGACCTTGGTGAAGACACGAGGCGACAGGGTTAGCCCGAAGGGGAGGACCTTGTACTGATATGCTCGCCCCTCGAACGCGAAGCGGAGAAACGGCCTGTGTCGAGGGAGGATCGGAACATGAAAGTACACATCCTTCAGGTCGATCGCTGTAAACCAATCGAGGAGACGGACGCATCGAAAGATACGTTTCTGCGTTAACATCCTGAACGGGAGCCTGTGAAGGGCCCGGTTCAGAGCGCGCAGGTCCAGGATTGGTCGTAATCCACCGCCTTTCTTGGGTACAATGAAGTAGGGGCTGTAAAATCCCATCTCCATATCATCTGGAGGGACCGGCTCTATCGCATCCTTCTCCAGTAGGACACCTGAAGATGCATTTCTGCGTGAGCATCTTGAACGGGAGCCTGTGAAGGGCCCGGTTCAAGACGCGCAGATCCAAGATCGGTCTCAACCCACCGCCTTTCTTGGGTACAATGAAGTTAGGGGCTGTAAAACCCCGACTTCATATCGGCTGGAGGGACCGGCTCTATCGCATCCTTCGCCAGCAGGACTGCGATTTCCGCTCACAAGACGGGAGCATCCTTGTTCGGCACAGAGGTGAACCGAATGCCCCTGAACTTGGGAGGACACCGGGCGAACTGTATCGCATAGCCAAGTCTGATGGTTCTCGTGAGCCATCGAGACGGTATGGGGAGCGCTAGCCAGGCCCCCAGGAACCGAACAAGCAGGACTAGGGGAACCACCGACGTACCCGCAGTGGTCACCGAGGTCACCGTAGCCACCAGATCCCACCGGGACAATACCACAGGAACCAGTTGAGTCCTCTGCACAATTTGACTTTGCGCAGCCTGAAATTGAACTGCTAGTTTGTCTGGCCAGAGGAGAACTGGGCCCCCGACTGAGCCTGGTTTCTCCCAAAGTTTTTTCTCCATTCTGTCACCGATGGAGTTTTGGTTCCTTGCTGCTGTAGCCTCTGGCTTGCCTAGTTGGGGACCCTTCATTTCAAGCGATATCGTTGACTTGATTGCACAGATACTATTTAAACTGAACTGAGCTGGATGATGACATCACTGAATTCAATGATGAACTACCTTTAACTGAAAAATGAGTGTTTACTATTGTCATTTTGCATTATTGACACACTATTTTCCTAATTAATGCTGTACAGTTGCTTTGACACAATATGTATTGTTAAAAGCACTATATAGATAAAGGTGACTTGACTTGACTGGGGCAGCGAGGTGGAGCACAGGTACCCAACCTGGAAGGCACAGCATCCCGGAGTGGGGTCTGAGTGCTCGGTGCAACACTTACCTGGATCCACGGTTGGGCAGGGGGCGCGTGAGAAGGCATAGCGTCCTCGAACCGGGCCCTGCTGCCCGCTGGCGAAAGGAGAGGGGGACGGTAGTGTCACCCTCTTGAGACCCGGAGAAAGAGGAAACTGCTCTTTTATTGAATGTTTGGGTACCACCGGCTGAGGAGCCAGTGGCGGAACAAAACAAAAAGCAAACAAAAGATTCTCCACCTGGCCCTCCTCCGGGGGAAGGAGTGGTGCGGTCACCATCTTCTGAAGAGCAGGATCCGGAGTCTCCGGGTCGCCCGTCTCAGAAACGCCGCTTGGTCTGGCGCTTTACGGGCCTGGCAGGGGCAGAGACAGGCTGCGCCACTTTCCTGCTGCCAGTTCCACGCTGCGGCCGGTGTGCAGGAGGGCGCTCTCGGCGACGAGCGGGCGGAGGGACTGCAGCCGGCGGCGGGGGGATGACAGCCGCAGGCCGCCGGGGCG